TGGCCATGACTTATAGATGAGACTACTGATGAGTTTTATTATGCATAAATGGTTTACCATTGAAAGTTCTGTTATGCTTACATGATTTATCTGGCATGCTTAAAATTTTACCCAAGGGTTATTCATATTTACTTACTGAGTTATCTCATAGTTTTTCCTTATCCACCATTTCAGAAAACAAAACCGAAGACAGGAAAACCACGAGGAGTGACGAGGTAGAAGGCTAGCCATTCTAATTGGATATAAGTTTTAGATTTTATTCTTGAGATTTTGTGATTTGAATAAGTTCCGAGCTTTGTGCATTTGTGGGACCCATCTCATGAGTGCACAACGTCTGCCACGTTCCCGGATTTGGGTTTTGGGTCGTGACAACATTATAAATCTTAGTATTTAAATAATAATTTAATATCACAAGTTGTTCACAGTTAATCAAACATGTCAAGAAATGTTCAGTGACATTTGAATAAAATCCATATCATAAAATCTTATGTTCACAAATGTGATGTTACAAGCATAATGCATAAAACGAAAATCACACAATATTATGGAGTTTATTGATATGTGCTAGCAACACTTGTACTAGAACTAATCATGGCACTCACCCTATTGCGCAAGGTCCACTAATTATCCCGGAGGGTCCATTGAATACCTTAAGCTTTGAACTTAAATCCACTTACTCCATAGCCACAAACACAAACACATGTCAAACAAAATTCAAAAAACATTCAAAATAACTATAGGAATAATTCCATTCATTAATTAATTCCGGTTATGGATTTTTAAAGTAATTAGCAATAATTTTGCTAATGCTAACTCATTAACTTCATCCACAACAAATTGTACATTGATTTCTTATTTTAACAATGCAATTAATGCATGATTAATCAACCAAATTCAAATCAAGGGCAGCAAGACACAAGCAACAACACCCAAACTCCAATTAAGTATTCACAAATTTTACTTTATCATGCAACTTTTCAAAGGTCTTCACACAAATATACAAGGAAATACTAAAATAACAACAACAAGATATTAACCAATAATATTCACATAAAATTCCAACATCAAAATGAAACCCACTTCTAATTCTATACCGTACATATACCCAAAAACCCAAATAGTTCTTAGACAAAATTCTAATACAAAATCTCTTAAATGAATGATTTAGAGTCAATTATACCAATTTAAACTAATTTTTAGTATATTATAGTAAATTTATAATTTACCCAAAACTCTAACCCAAATTTATAATTAAAATTCATACTTACCTATGGAAATTAAAGTACCAAATTGAAGAAATCAACAAAATTTGAAAGGGAATCCAAAGAAAACACACAGTAAAAGCAACGGCAGCTTCCCTCTTTGACCCTCACAACTTGGACAAATGTAAGGGAATGGGTTTCGGGAGGTTAAGTCAAAAAGGAAAAGGGATTTTGCTTTCTTAAATCTTCCTGAGAAAGCCCCCGGTGACTTGGTTCACAAATTACCACGTCTCAAATTTTGGATAAAATAGTTAGATAGTTCCCAACTATCTCAAAATTTCACATATAGTTCACATACTCTAAATCTAATCAATTTAATCCCTAAAACTTTTAAAATAAAGGACTCTAATTTCTAATCTATTCACTAAAGTATATGGGTGTTACATCATCCCCACCTTAAAAGAATTTGGTCCACCAAATCATTAAGCTTACCAAAATAGATGTGGATACTACTCCCTCATTTGACTTTCAAGCTCCCATGTAGCTTCATTCTCATTATGATGCCGCCACAACACTTTCACCAAAGACACAGTCTTGTTCCTCAAAACTTTTCTTTCCTATTCAAAATATGCACTAGTTGTTCAATTGAACTCAAATCTTCATTTAATTCTAATGGTTCATGGTTAATGACATGTGAAGGATTCGACTTATACTTCCTTAAAATTGACACATGAAACACATTGTGCACATTTGACAACTCTGGAGGCAATGCAATTCTATAAGCCACTTCACCCACTTTTTCAAGGATCTCAAACGGGCCAATATATCTTGGACTGAGCTTTCATTTTAAACCATTAAGCTTACCAAAATAAATGTGGATACTGCTCCCTCATTTGACTTTCAAGCTTCCATGTAGCTTCATTCTCATTATGATGCCACCACAACACTTTCACTAAAGGCACAGTCTTGTTCCTCAAAACTTTTCTTTCTTATCCAAAATATGCACTGGTTGTTCAATGTAACTCAAATCTTCCTTTAATTCTAATGGTTCATGGTTAATGACATGTGAAAGATCCGGCTCATACTTCCTCAAAATTGACACATGAAACACGTTGTGCACATTTAACACATTGTGCACATTTGACAACTCTAGAGGCAATGCAATTCTATAAGCCACTTCACCCACTTTTTCAAGGATCTCAACCGGGCCAATATATCTTGGACTGAGCTTTCCTTTTAAATCAAACCTGTACACTCCCTTGGTGACACCTTAAAAAATACATGATCTCCAACTTTAGATTCTAGAGGACCGTTTCTATTATCTGCGTAGCTCTTTTGTCTATATGGCTTTCTGGAATGATTTCCAAAATCTTGTAGTAAACCTTGGATCTCTATCTAATACAATGCTCATTGGAATTCCATGGAGTCTAAAAATCTCCCGAACATAAAGCTTGGCTAACTTGTCCAATGGGTCTTTTTGTTTTATGGCCAAAAAGTGAGTTGACTTTGTCAATCTGTCCACAATCACCCAAATTGTATCAAATTGCCTTCTTGTCCTCGACAATCCCACAATGAAGTCCATTGAAATGGCTTCCCACTTCCACTTTGGAAAGGTTGAAGTTGCCCTCCTGGCTTTTGTTGTTTTACTTTTACCACTTAACTAATCAAGCACTTGGATACATATTTAGCCACATCCTTCTTCATGCCTTTCCACCAGAATGTTTCTTTCAAGTCATGACACATTTTGGTACTCCCAAGATGGATGGTATAGTTGGACTTATGTACTTCTTGGAGCAATTCTATCTTCAACCCATCATCATACGGAATACAAATCCTATCTCCAAGTCTTATAATTCCATCATTCGAAATATGAAGACCCACTTTGGAGCTATTCTCATTGTCTTTTATCAACTCCATCAATCTTGAATCTTTTTGTTGTGCTTCCTTGATCCTTAACAATAATGTAAGCTGAACCACCAAGCTAAACACTAATACATTAGACTTTAGTGACAAAAATCTAACATTCAAATCCTTGAATTCTTCTAAGAGTTTCCACCTCATCACCATTAAACTTGCTAAGGTTCTAGTTGATTTTCTACTAAGTGCATTAGTATCCACATTTCCCTTTCTAGGTTGATAGACAATTTTGCATCTATAATAATTTAGATACTCCACCCATCTTCTTTGTCTTGAGTTGAGCTCTTTTTGTGAAAATAAATATTTCAAGCTTTGATGATTAGTATGCACCTCAAACTCTTCTCCATACAAATAGTGCCTTCACAACTTAAATGCAAAAATTATGGCAGCAAGGTCTAAGTCATGTGCAGGGTAATTTCTCTCATGTCTCTTGAGTTGTCTAGACCCAT